CTGTTTGAGGACTTCCATTGTCATTTATAACCACATCCTGGATTTGAGGTAGCACAAGAGAGTCTCTGGTTCTTGCAGTCAAAAACTCAACTGGAAAGCAGTGTACCCATAGCCAGAAATAGAATGGCCTTGTCGGAAAGGCAGAATCTCATGGTTAAGCTATTGCTAGAGGTCAGCTGAGACAGATAGGCCTCACCTATACCAGCTCTTTGGAAATAATCTCAGTAATATGGATTTAATCACCCAAATACAAAAACTCAAAAAAAAGTGCCAAGGGCGACTTTTCAAATAGTTCTGAATATGTACCATGGGTTATATAGCTTAATGCTTATTTTTATATATAAAATATAGGCTTACAAATTAAGCATAATTTATCAGATTAGTAGAGCTTAAATGTCTTCTTTTCACACAGATGATATATACCAGCACATAAGTTTTAAAAAATATTATTACTATTCACCAGGTAAAAATGCACAAACTACTGTTCTGCCAGATTCCTATCTCTAATAAAAGTGGTGTGCTCTTACTTAAAAAAGACATGACCACTTTAAGTGCTAACTTTAATCTTTGAATTCTGGCCAATGGCGCACTACTTTCCAGGTGAGTTTTTGACTGCAAGAACCAGAGACTCTATATTTCAAAGAAGTTGACTCAAAAATATGCCCTAGACTAATTCTTTCTAATTATCATAAGAAAGACAAATGGAATTTCAACCCAGGTATAGAGGCTTGGATTTAAAATGCTTATTTTAGCAGGGGGGCAATTCAATTCAGAACAGTTGGTTTTATTGAAGAAACAGTATTACCCTTCCAAAAACCAAACTGTCATCAAATCAATCCCAACTCATAGTAGTCCAATAGGGCATCATAGGAGTCCTGTAGGGCACAGCACAACTGCCTCTGTGGGTTTCCAAAGCTGTAAACCTACAAGGTACTGAATGGAAAGCCTCATCTGTAGGTTCACAATGCTCACCTAATGGTTAGCAGCCTAATGTGTTTGTTATTCTTATCCTTACTGCACACAAAATAACATTTATTCAATGAAAATCATATTGTTTTGTCCTGGTTTCGCTACATTATTATAATATTAAGGCATAAAATTAGGATAACAATAGAAATTATTGAGGTCTATTTGACAAAAGGGTCAGATGATTCCTTATCCCATGAGGCTTTTCTCAATAGCTCTGTAATATTTGACAGAAGGTTCCTTCTTGAAACTTCTTTCTTTCTCTTCCATAACCACACACACACTTCTAGTCTTTCACTCACCCACATCTCTACTGCCAGGCCTTCTTTCTCCTGATTCCTAACAAAACTTAATATCCTTGAATTTCATCTTCTCTCTGTTCTCTATAAAAGTGACTCTCAAGAAACATGTATCTCCAGCTTCAGTCTCTTTTCCCTAATCACAATTCCAACTTCCCGTTAGATATTTTCTCTCACATTAAGCTCCAAGGTCATACCAAACTCTATACTTTAACCAAAGCATTACTATACAAAATTGGTTTTCTCTCTATTGGCTCCCCTACATTCAACCGTGCCATGATTCTCCCAACTAGGGGAAGAAATTTTAGCACAACTCGGCTATCAAATCTACCACCACCATGAATCTATTCCAGGAGTTGGCAAACTTTTGAGACAGAAGAGCCAATCCTGTCCCTAACAACAATTTTAAAATCATTTGAGAGCTATACATATATTTTTACAAATAAATGAAATAGTCATTAGCTGAATAATATCCTTTTAAAATGTTCAATTTTACTTCACAGTCACATGTACATACCAGAAGAGCCACATATGGCTCGAGGGCCACAGTTTGCTGACCCAGATCTACTCCAACAATAAGAACCATTGACCCTTATCTCCTTTTCATTACAGTAATACTGCTAGTATTTTAGGTCTTACTGGTTCTTACTACTTCTTATGAGCTTAGTATAAAAATATCCTGGGCTTTTTTTCCATTGCCTAAAAACCCAAATCAAAACCAAATAAAAGCTCTTCCAATGATATTCGGGCACTCTGCTAATTATTATGTGTTGTTATTCCACTCATAACAAACCATAAGTAGACGCTGCTACTATACTTATTTTATAGATGAGAAAGTAGAGATTCAGAAATATTAATAACTACTCAAAAGATACAGAGATGTACGACACAAGACTTCAACTCTGGCAGCTTCCACATCAAAGCTTGTACTTTTTTTTTTCTCATTAATCAATTTACTGGGGGGCTTTTACAGATGTTATAACAATCCATAATTGTACATATGTTCTCATCATCATTTCCAAAACATTTTCTTTCTACTTGAGCCCTTGGTATCAAAAGCATGCAGTCTTGATCACTGTCACTCAGCTCAAGTTCTCAGTCTGGCATCAGGTTCCCATATAACCTATCTTTAATCAATGCCTGCCTTGGACATTTCTGCTCCTGCTATCCTTCTTCTGGGATGAGAGTTTGTTGTTGCTGGCCATTGACTCATGGTGGCCCCATGTGTGCAGAGTAGAACTGATCCACACAGTTTTCAAGTTTGGCCTTGCGGAAGCAGATCTCCAGGCCCGTCTTCTGAAGTACCACTGGGTGGATCTGAACTGCAAACTTTTGGGCCAGTAATCAAGCACTTAACTGTTTGCACCACCCAGAGACTGCTGAATGAGTACAGTATCCTGTAATATTTAAGAGCCTTAAGCTGTAATGTCAGTCTCTTTAGGCTCAAATCCCAGTCCTATCATATAACATATGACCTTAGACAAATTATCATCTTCTAAACCAGTTTCTTTGTAAAATGGGAATAATAGTAATAGTGTTTATCTTGGGGAGTTAAGAAATTAAATGAGATTAAGCATGGAAAATATTAACCCACTGCCTGGCTCACAGCAAGTCCCAGTAAACATTAACCATTCCAATTATTATAACTCTATCCTCCTAGATTCTTTCTCTCCATCCTCCTCTATTCTTTCTTACCTAGCTTTTCAGGATAAAAGTTTTGTTCAGGTCACACAGTACCTCTTTCCTTCTCTGGATGCCTGCAATAGTTTTACTTACTTGCAATTATATAAACTGAATATAAGTTGACCTGAATTATAGTAAAAATAACACAATTCACAATCATCTCAGGGATACTATAATGTGCAGTGACTATTTTAAGAAGCCCACATGGATTTGCTCATTTTAATCCTCTTCACAACATGATGAGGTAGATACTATTATTATCCCTCTTTTGCAAGTGACAAATCCAAGGCACAGAAAAATTCAGCAACTAGACTAAGATTATATAACTAATATTAGGGGAGTCCAGCAAATGTAGCTAGATGCTCTCTCCACTATTTAATATTTCATACCTGTATTTTCATGTCTCCTCTAGAAAAGTGAAGCCTTTTCAAAAGCACAATGGTCTCTCTTCTCTAGATTGCCCCCAGTGCCCGCCCCCCAAAAAAGAACCTTCCAGAGATGGATTGGACAGCAAACATGTGCTAGGTGGATATTCACAGTGTTGCATGGTCATTTGCACCATCCTTTTTCAATAGCTAACTTCCAACTACTTGCATCTAAGCTGTTATAATACAGTGGCACTGATTAACATTATGAATCATAGTAAACTGTGAGTAAACTGTGCCCTACCATTTGGAAGATCCTCTCTTTCTAAGACTCATAATCTCAATTCTACTATTCCAGCACTAAAAAACACGCACATGGATACAATCTGAGAAAACTTTTACTCAATGTTTTGACTGAGTTGGATTTCTTTTATGTGCGGAAAAGACAAAGCAAGATTATCTTCAATTGCATCAATATTTTAAATTAGTATGTCTCCTTGACTTTATTCTCTTCCCAACCAAAGACATGCAGCACACAGTACTTCACATAGTCACTGCGTGACTACATAAATTTAGGAAGATAATTTTTTTAAATCCTGCTTTTTAAAGGCCCAATCTTTTGTATCTCCTTTCTCTCCCCTCGTTAATAATAACTCAATCACAATTTATTACTTTAAAGCTCTTTTCATTTTCAGTCATTCCCATATGATAGCCCTCTGCTTCCCCACTCTTTCTAGTAACTCACTTTTCAATTCTGCTTAAATGCTACCTTCTCAAAACTCTCTTCCTTATTTCTGACCCAAAACAATCCCCCCACCCTTTTAGTTTCTCATAGCACTATTTTTTTTTGCCAGAAAACTAGTCACCTTCAAAGAAGGAGCAGGTACATTGCTGTGACTGGAGAAAAAAAAATCTTCAGTGTAACTTTCCTGGCCGTTTCCTCACAATTGCAATTTTCAATTTACTTGAAACTTCATAATAAGTCCCTATGACTGTCCTTATTTAATCCCAAACACTGTTTCTATAAATATAGGAAACATACCCAGAGAAATTATCGTTTTGAAAATTCCCAAGATTCAGCAGAAATGACAAAATTATTTTCATGCTCTTGTAAACTACCAAAAGAGCCTTCCAAATATAAGCCAACCAAGTTCATTTGAAGACTCTTCTGGTAATTTGCTCCTCACCCTCAAATAGCACAGGCAGCTTAAGGCCCACATGGTTAAGATAATTTCATAGACCCACTGTGTAGTCACGGAGTTTTCCAAATAATGCATCTATAAAATCTGTGAAAACACAGGGCTAAGGGATACACATAAAATCTGACCCTCAGTAAACGTTTCCTTTCCCATCATGGACATTCCTCACGTTCTACTTCTCTTTTCTCAAAAATGGAACGATTTCTTGACAGAACACTCATAGGCCCTCACTGTCAGTAACACAGATGCCATGAAACCATCAGTGTGCTCCTTGAGGGATGGTCTCCAAGTATGAAACAGTAATTCACAAAAGGATGATAATGAAAAAACACCCAAAACAAGGGGGGGGGGATGATGACATCAAAATGTTTTCTTAACTGAAGCGAAGAAAATCAATTGGTATTTCAAAAGTTAAAAGGCTGCCTTTTATTGAAAGGACATGCTAGCTCCCCAACACGCAGGTAGCAGAGACATGTTAAGTGCATTACCTTTAGGAGGAAAATAGGACTTGCTTTCAGCTTTATGAGGCCAGTCTACCACGAGAGGTCCAAACCTGCGAAAACTGGCAGTGATCTCATCTACAAAGGAAAGAAAGAATCTTAGCAAGAGAGAAAAAATATTGTAACTGAGAAAAATAAAACATTTTAATTTTTTTAAAAAGTGCCAAGAGCTATTTTCTAAAACATTTTTATAGAAGTCAAGCTTTTTAAGTGAAATGCCACTGCTTGGCATATATTATTCACTTACAAGCATGCAAAGTACATTTCTAACTATAATTCATCTCCCTTCACTACCAATAAACTTAGCATGCAGACTTTCGAAGAAAAAAATATGATAATAACTAAGCTGACCTCTCTGTCAAATAAAAAGCAGATTCTAAAAAGAGGAATGTTTTCTGTTTGTGGGGGAGGAGAAAAAGCACACAAATTATTAAATTTAAAACATGCTTTCACTTATGCAAAATCTCTAAGGTTAAATTTAGAAATAGATATCATTCTTTTACTAAGTTTTAGGGTAAACAGACAGATTATTCAATTTGATAAAAAAAATGTAAAGGGCAATGATCACTTTGTCTCCTGTATACAATTGTATAAAGCACACTAGAACTCAACCTTCCAAATTTATAGCTCAATATTCGGACTTCTGACTCAAAACAGAGGTTTTAAATTAAACCTGGATCCAACTTAGGTTTAATTTACTACTTTCTGAGGTATGAGAAAAAAACATGTCTTAAAAAAAAATTCAGTTGATAGATGAAGTTATCACTAATAGTGTAGTTTGAAGAAAAATAAGTCTCCAGTTGTGTACAACTTTCATGGAATAAGTCTAAAATAGAACTGTTTTTAGAAACTTTTTTCCTCTTACCATGAAAATAAATAAATAAATTAGAGAAATGTACAGCTAAAATAATGCTGGTAAAACAAATCATTTTGATAATATTTTTAGAGTACACCTAAGGCCTAATGGAACTAGAATGACCATTTTTTTCCCCCTTTAAGTTACCTTGGTCATAATTCTCATGTGCCCATTCAACAAAAATTTATCAGCAACTTACTGTGTTCTTACATGAGTGTATACTTCTATTGACTTTAGTCAAAAGTGAAAACTCATTTTTGGATTGGTTATGTTTGAAAAATATTATTTTTATTAAGGTAAATTCTAACCAGTATTCATCATTAAAGTCAAAACCAAACCCACTGAGATTGAGTTGAGTCCAACTCAGAGGGACCTTCAGGGCAGAGTAGAACTGTCTGAGTTTCTAAGGGGATACATTTTTACTCAGCAGATCACCACATTTTTCTTTTACAAGCTGGCTGTGGGTTTCAACTGACCTTAGCAGTGAGCACTGACCTAATGCTGTAATCACTGTGCCAACAGGGCGCCTTTAAAGGGGGGGATTATTCTTTTAATTAATATCCACTTATGTTAAATGTGAGATGATATGGCTTGATGAAAATGAGCAAAAGCTCTAGAGTCAGAATAATTTTGAGTTCCAAATGCATCATTAGCTAATAACCCCGGACAGATTCTCCCTCTGATCCTCAGTTTGGTCATCTATAAAACAGGCATGGTAAAAGATGCATTACAGGACAGCTGTAGGGATTAAAAATGAGATAATGTGATGTGAAGTGCTTAGCACAATAGCAGGTGTATAGTAAGAGTCTTTTAAATATTAGCTCTCACTGCTATTTTTAAATGTACTCCCAAGTTAGTAACTGGGAAACGTGAAGCTGCTCGGAGTCTGCTTTGTTGCCACAAACGAACAAGGATCTGAAATGTACAATCCATTTGATTTCTTCAGTTAGTCGGTATTCTCACCTCCTACACACCAAGATATAAATGTCTTAAAGCTGCCTTGGAGAGGACAGGCAGGGTTCAGGTCACATGAAGCACTAATCTGGCTGCTATAAAACCACGAGGAAATGCACAGTACCTTCATCGATATCAGGAGGAAGGCCTCCAACAAACACCTTCCTGGAGTAGCGTTCCACCCGTTCCCCATTTTGACAGCGCGTGGGAGAACTTAGGCCCGATGACAAGGACTGATCACCATGACTGTCGTCCAGGAAGGCATCTTCAAAGGGAAAGAGAGAAGACCGACCTGAAACAAATGTGGGAGTTTGTATAGTTAAAATGGTTTCCCGGGAGCACACATGTTTGATGAGGAGCCCAAAGTTCAGAGTAAGGTCTACAAAAACGATGTCCTGAACGAGGGCGTTCCCAGTAGAATAAGCACCTGCAGACTTCTGGATCTAGACAAGCGTCTACCATTGTTATTATTGTATAAAAGTATACACGGCACAGAGATGACTGGCTCGATGTCTAAGGAAGCAGCACTGTTATTTTTCCTTTCCATCTGAGTTCCTGAAAACGAGTCATCCCTATTCCTAGATTATAATCTGCTCTTTACGGTGACATCAGAAGGTCAGTCTGAAGACTGACCCTGAGAAAATTTTAAACTGCCGATAAACGCTTTTGCTAGCAGGATTAAAGATAATGATTATGTTTTCCCAGCCACTCAAAGCAACTCCAATTTAAAATAGACATCTGCAGTAATAAAGGGCAGGGGAGTAAATAAAAACATCAATTCAGGTATGGGAACAGCGGTGTAAATGGGGTTATGATGTCTTTCTCCAATAATCCTGGCTGTACCCACAGTTTCTGGAAAATGAATGTCCATCTTAAACGTGAGACCACAGACAATGCCTACTTGCCCTTTAAGTAAATTGTTCTTCACTTTGAAAGGATTGGCTTGCATTAACCCCTACTCAAAGCGAAAACGTCATCAAAATCACTTCACTTGCTGCACATGGCATTTAAATTACTGGAAAAGCTCCAAGCCTTTCCTTGCACTGATTCACTGCCATCGGGTCCAGTCCAACTCTTAACCACTCTATGGATGCAGGGTCCTGAAACTTTTAACTCCTGCCCGGAGCAGGCAGTTTTTCTTTCTTTGAGCAGTGGCTTGTGGGTTTAAGGTTTTTGGTTAGCAGCCTGATCCTTAACCCATGGTACCAGCAGAGTTCCTTGCTTTGCACCAAAGTCAGGCTTACTAAGAACCGTGTGCACCTGTTCTGACTCAGCTACAAACTCCACTTGAAGACATAAAGACAGTTAAGAACAGATCTCATTTAGTCACCGTGGAATTTTATGTCAATCAAGTGAAAAGAAATTTATGAAAAGATTACAGATCATTTTCATTGTTAATTCTATGAAGCAAATGCTCCTACTATGATAAGTTACCAGCAGTTATTAATAACAATAACACACAATAATGACATCTGGCATTACGAAATAAAATCTAAATTTAAAAACAAATATATTTCCTGTTTGAGTCAATGAGTTTCTGGTAAAATTTTCCACTAGCTGACACTGTAAAAATGAACTCAATGGAATACTCCCACTTTTGAAAAACAGAAAAAGTGCCTCTAAAAGAAATGCACATACTCTTCAGAAAACAAAATGTCTCCCTCATGTAGTCCAGCCGGTGTAACATTTCCCCGAAACCTGGGCTCTGCATCACAACAGACAACTCAATAAAGCAAAGTAAAAATAGCCATAGAAAAAAAACCTGAAGATTTATTTATGTGGTGTTTTTTTTTAAGTTAGTAATGTAACTGTTTCTTTTTGAACCACCCAGGTGGTATAACAAAGGCTCTGTTTTGATGTTGGAAGTTAATAAATAAAAGGGTCAGAGAATTTTTTTGTTCAGCTCCCTCCAGTTTAGCTACAAACAAACAGAACAAAATTTGTCACCTCGTGCCACCTATCTTTTTTAGCCCGGCAGGAACAAACAACAGACAGCAAATTCTCATCTCTTGCTGTCTGTTGGGTCATCAGCAGTAAAGAAAGCTCTGCAAGCACCCGAGTGAGATGAGGGCTTTCTACACGCCCCAGAGACATTCTCCACGGGCTTTCTCTTCACGTGCGCCACACGCTGTCCATCTGGTGCCCACTCTGCGCCAGGCCAATGCCCAAGTCAGCATTTCCCACAGTGCTCCTACGTTCCTCTCTGACCCGCAACACTCGCAATACGAGATGCTCAGAAAACAAATCCCAGAGATTTACAATCCCTGAGATTCTATCCACAATAGAATATAAAGAATTCTGAAAAATTCTGCAGTAAAGAAACGTTAATTTGGCATCACCAAGATTGAGGATGGAAGAACCTTTAACATACGTAAATCCATGGAAAACACTTGCGGAAATACTTCTCCAGAGGCCAGGCACAGAAAACAAACAGATACTTCCCTGCCAAAGGAATCATAATTTGGTGGGAGAGAGAGGCATGAATATAAAATAGATAAATACTAAGAGAAGGCAGTCAAATGGCACAAAAGCACATTCTGTGGCCCTCCTAGAGAGAAAAAAAGACGTGACTTCATAAAAGGGTGATGTTGAGCAAAATCTTGAAAGTGGGAGTTTCTGAGGTAGAGAACAAAAATCCACAGAAAAAGTGCTTTCAAACCAACAATAGATCTTTCCTTGCAAACTTTTTTCACCTCTAGCACTCTCTGTAATCTCAGCAAAAATGACTATTATCCTTACTCTAATTCAGTCCAGAAATCTAGAAAATCATCCATGACATCTCTCCCTCATACTTGAAGGCTAATCCATCTATCACCAAATCCTGACAATTCAAGCTCCGAAATAAATCCATCATCTACTCAGTTCTATTTCTAGTCCTAATGCTCTGGTTCAGATCCCCACTAGCCCTTTATCTGGACTAACAGTCTTTACTGAGTCTATTTAAATAACCTGTTTAGTCTACTGACTTCAACTCTGTAACCCTGTAATGCTTTCTGTACAAATCAACCAAAATTGGTATTTGTAAATACTAATCTGATCATGTAACTACAGGCCACATTCTAATCTCTCAAAGTTCTCAATGACGTCCCATTACTTTTTTAAGTATAAAAACCACTATTCACTGTAAGGCCTACATAATCCAACACCATAATGGCGGCCTCTCTCCTTTTTACTCATTAACTTTCAACCACACAGACTTCTGTTGTGTTTCCTGATTATTCTTTCTTAACTTAAGCCCCAAGAACAAGGTATTCCCAACAACTGAGACAAACGCCCCTTTCCTAACTCCCAACTTCCTAATTAATCCTACTAATTCTACAAGTTTCAGATGGAACTTTATTAATATTTTAAATTAGGATAGGTCTCCTCATCTGTCCACTCATAGCACGCTGTAATCTACCTAATACTTCCCCTACTACCATTATACCACTTGTGTTGGTTTTCATTTAGTAGCTCTTCCCCAAGACCCATTAGGACAAGGACCAGTGTAATCTTGTTCACCACTGTATCTTATTAGAATAATGGCATATAATAGGCCTTCAATAAATGTACACTGTGAGGCAAAATTCAGGGAAGGACAACAATATATGCAAAGATATGCTACTACAATGAAATACGGAAGTGTGAAGATGGCTAGAGATTGGATCATGTCCTAAAAAGCTGAAACTTTTTCTATTACTTTTATTTACTCCAGAATTGTTTTGTAAACCTTATTACAAAAGCAATACAAAATCTTCCCATTTGCAAATTCAGTAGTTCATTCTAATATGGAAAATGCTTTTTGGGGTGAGGAATACTATACTCACTCCCTGGAGACTCTGATACTCCCCTCTACTTAATCTTCCATCCTGTCAGTTACCTCTCTAAAATACCTCTGTTATTCCTCTATTCCAACTCCTATAATAGCTTTTGTCACCTCCACTAGTGAGGTGCAGTAATTATTTAACATGGCCCTTCTTGTCACAGTATACTGAGTGGTAAGATAAAAATGAGGTGCTTGTGGCCCACCAAAGGAATTGGACAGCTTCCTAATCATGAAAATAAGGAACATAATATCCTTGTAGGGATGGAACCATGAAAATAAGGCATAGGGGATCCAAACAAGGATTGGTTAGTTTTCTCACTCAGCTAGGTTAAAATAAATCATCTCAAAAGTGGGAAGGGGGAGAATCTCATGACTACCTAGACCAGCGGTTTTCAACCCGTGGGTCACAACTCCTTTGGGGGTCGAACGACCCTTTCACAGGGGTTGCCCAATTCATAACAGAAGCAAAATTACAGTTATGAAGTAACAACGAGAATAATTTTATGGTTGTGGGGGCACCACAACATGAGGAACTGTATTAAAGGGTCATAGCATTAGGAAGGTTTAGAACTACTGACCTAGGTGGAACAGAAGTGAAATACATCCGTTGGACTTGGGATCCTTGGGCTGAGACCAAGGAAACAGAGAGAAAGTTATTAACACTGGGGAATGTGAGAGACAGTCAGAAGCAGGGGCAGAGAAATCACCACCACAGAGGCAGCAGAACCAGGAGACCACCAGGGGACAGTGAAGTGGGCTTCCCGGTCCACAGAGCTAGAGAGCTAGCTGAGCACCTTTCAGCAAGAGGCTTCCTGGCAGAGAGGTATCTCCGGGCCACTTGGAGCTAGGCATGCAGATCCCCAGAGCAAGCAAGTTGCCATTCTTCTGGCAGCAGGCTTGCAGGTGGAGTGGTGTGCTTCTGGGCACTTATTCGCGGAGCTAAGAGTTTTGTTGGAACAGGGAGCAGGCTCAAGGGCAGCAGAGCTCTGAGTCCCAGAATCTGAAGAGGCAAGCCTTCGGGGATGGCTAAGAAGAAACTGTCTCAACCAAAGAACTGTAGGCTGAGTCATTTCTGATTCTGAATTCTAACCTGCTATGCTTCCCTAATAACACCCATATCATATGATTTGTGACAACTGCAGCAAATTATCGAACCTAGTAGTGGTTTCCTTGAGAGGGAAATGGTAAAAAAGGTCAGTAAGAGGAGAATGTTGAACCTCTCCCTCAGAGGAATCCATCTAGGGCTGCTGATCTTGATTGCCCACCCACTTGTGAAATGAGGGGAGTCGAGTTGCCCCCATCAAGGCACCTTTACAACTAGTCATATGCATCTATGGAGAAAGGGAACGGAGAGAGTGCGAGGATATCTGCATCCATTCAGATGGCAGGTGAAGACATGTCGAACCAGAGCAGTGAAGCTGCAGCAGCAGTTTGAGACTTTCTGAATCAAAATGAATTTTTTTCTGTGTAGTAAACAAACCACAGCT